TCTCGCGCGCGCCGACGCCGCGTGACACGCGCGCGATCGACGCGCGATCGACGCGCCGGCGTTCGCGTTACGCGCGCGCGTCGTCGGCGCCTCCGCGCGCGAACGCGAACGATTTCAATCATTCGCCATGCCAGAGGACGCGCCCGAGCTGCGCATTCGCGCCGTCGCCGGTCGCTTCTACGCCCACGACGCGCGCGCGCTGGCGGCGGTGCGTCGAACCAATCGCATCGTCGGCGCCGCCGTGGGCGCGCTCCCGGGATATCGCTCGCAGGACGTCGCGCGGGGGTTGCCGGTGGAACTCGCGGCGGAGGAAGTCGCGCTGTGCGTCGCGCGCGGTTGGGGGGTCGTGACGTGTGAACGGGACGTCGAGGCCGAGGCGCACGCGGATGCGGTGCGGGAGCGAACGTGTGGGAAAGCGGCGCCGTCGTCGGGGACGGGAAACGGACGGGCGCGGCGACGGGACGATCGCGCGTGGGGCGGCGGCGGCGGGACGCGGACGAAGGCGGAGAAAAAGAGACGCCGCGGATGGGAGCGCGCGGTCGTGGACGGAGAGTTCGTGGACGTGCCGCTGGAGAACGCGTACGATGGTGAGGTGGGTGGGGTGGGGGAGGTCGGGGGGGCGACGCGGGCGGCGCGCGAGCGAATCGCGGCGTTTCGGGATTTACACGACGCCGGGTTTTACATGACATCCGGGGCCAAGTTTGGGAGCGATTATCTGGCGTATCCGGGAGATCCCATGGTGTTTCACGCGCATTACGCCGTGCGCGTCGCGGCGTGGGAATCGGTCATCCATCCGCTCGCGCTCGCGGCGTCGACGCGCACGGCGCACGCCGCGCGGAAAAATTTCGTCGTCGCCGCCGCGCGCGCCGCGGACACCACCGCCGCGCGCTTCGACGCGCGCTTCTTCACCCTCGAAGCCGACGTCGATCTCTCGTCCAATCGTGGATATTAGCTCGCGAACGCGCGAGACGTGGAATACATCGCGCGTCCGCCTCACGCGTCGCGTCCCAGCCGTCGCTCCAACTCCCCGATCGCCCCCTCCATCGCCGCGCACTTACGCGTCGTCGCGTACCACTCCCGCTCCAGCGCACCAAACACCTCCTTCGCCGCTTCCTGCGACAACTTTCTCGCCGCGTTCGTCGCCGTCGCGCGCGTTCGCGTCGACGCGACCTCCGCCTCGAACGCCTTCAGCGTCGCCGCCGTCGCGTCGCATCGCG